GTTAGGCATATGTAGGAGTCGCTTCCTCGGAATATGTAAAATGATGACGTCAGAAAATGCTTTCGGGTTACATTCACCATAGAGGAATGTATTTTGCTTTGCTATGCTCAACTGTGTATCAGGTTCAATCCAAACAAAAAACGACATTTGAACCATTGCACTTTGCTTGTGAGTAAAGTGCAGTTTGCAAAGTGATTCAATAAACTCCACATTTACGCCAATATACACATCTATATCATTCTCCTCACTGCACACCGTCTCATAGAAAACATTTTTCACCGTGATAAAGATCAACCAGACTGCAGATGCTAATTGTAGACAGACAACCTCTAACTCTGATACCTACCAGGTGCAGTCGCTTCGTCCTAGGCTCTGTTGAATCCTCGTTAGACAACCAGATGTCTTTCTCATGGGAAATATTTCGCTTGCATACTCAAGGCAAAAACTCCCCCAGTCTGCTCCCCCAGCCATCATTCGAATAGTTCAACTTATCACATCCCGTAACAAACCTTTCATTTCTATATTTCACTGTCATGCTGATGGCTGATTCTCTAGATGATATTCAAGACCTTCCTAGTTGAGCTGAATGCTTTTTATCTATCTAACTTAATGTTGTGGGACATACCAGCCATCGCATTTGAATTTGATTGGTCTGAAGAACGATTTCAATGGCCAACAATTTAGATGACTGAAGGACGATATAATCAGCAAACTGCATTGCACGGTTTCTGCCAAGTTTGCTTACGAAAATACATAACAGATGTTTGCGCGTGAAAGTGCCGTGTAGCGCCCAACCGTTCATTGCAAGTGAAATTTATTGACCATCCAGTTCATCTGTATATGGTTGGGACGTCTTGAACGAATTTTCTGTAATAATTATAGGAACATAGTATTCATACTTCCAAGTGGCGCCATATGTTATACTCAGACTAAGCAGCCCTACTCATGACCGCTCATATGCGCTAACTCTTATTTCATTGGTTGCTTGTATTCGTTGTGTGTTTCACTGATCTGATTTTTTTACCAGTCTTTATAATTGACTTTTTACACAATCACTCCGGGTAAAACACTAAAGATAGCGTAAAGGCCGCTCACACATTAACCTAGACCTAGGGTGACATGTGTTTCCTCAACATCAGCATTCATCCTTATTTTTTGAGTAAATGCGATTTTCATCAATCACCTCCATTAAAAACCAAATTCGATGGCGTTCCCATAGCCAGTTTCTGTCTATATGTTTTGTTTGCCTGTTGGAGGTGAAGACCATTCTTCTGTGTACACGTCAAGTTTTTTTCTAAATTTAATAACACGACGGTGTAAAGGTGTTACGCTAACTTCTCTGCATCATCATCATCATCATCATCATCATCATCATCATCATCATCATCATCATCATCATTATCATCAGCATTATCATCGTCATCATTACCATCAACAGTTGTAAAATCCGAGTAGTTGTCGTGCCGTGGCTCCAGCGGTCACAGTATCGTTCACCGATAATTTGGTAACTGGTGTGGTTAGCTGCGCATTGGAGGCGGTAGTCGATATAATTGATGCAATGCTGGTGATGGTATTACGCTGAGAAAGTTCCGCCAAGTTTTTATAATGTCGATAAATAACTATGGGGAATGTGACTCTGTCGTTACATCGTTCTGTCCATTCCGCACAAGTTTTGGGCTATCGCTACTTATTTTAAATGCAAATTTAAGACGTGCTTAAAGTCAACTGTTGTGCCATTTGACTGAATTCTACATTCTTGATTATGTCAACTGATATTGATTGACGTATGTAGAATCGTCAACTTCACTCTTTGCGGAATTGCAACGTAAATAAACCGAGATGTCTCACTTTGCCCACAAATGAACATTTACCCTTTTTTCACCCTGTGTATAATACCAGTATTCAATATTGACGGTTCTAAGTCATGCGCTGCGCATGCCGGTAAATTGTCTACCCAGACTAGTGTCGTTCTCCGTGATTCCTCCAGAATGCCGCAAACTGCCAGGTGAGCAACTTATGGTTTTGCAAAATGGTGTGAAGAAGGTTACGAAGAGTTTATGTTGTTGGTTTGATCTACCTTCCAGGATGGGGTCCTCGTGACCCCTTCTGCCTTTGACTGGAGACAGTAAAAGAAATAGCGGCTAATCAATGGCAGTGGTGTTCATGCTGTCCCCTTCCAGATTGAATAATTGAACGCTTGGAGTTTTAGGCCCTCCAGAATGCTTGTGACTGACCACCACTGAACTCCCTTGCTCAACCACTCTGTTTTCCTCTTTTTGCTGTAATGGTCTAAATATATTTAAATAAATTTTGTGGTTGTGCGGCAGAGAAGCATCCTCGCCAAAATCGACGTTGCTGTGTCCTGATGACGTTAATGACAATCTCGCTTGAGACAGTATCATTCTCTTCTTGTTGCTTGGACGAAGATAAACCCTTGATGGTTGTGAAAAAATAGTGCCGCATCCACACTGAATCGTCTTGGACATTCTTGAACATTCTTGACCATTCTCACTGTGCGGTTTTAATTTCTTGTACGCTTATTCTGTGTCTTACTAACTGTACAAACTAACTGCTCATGAATCATGAAACGGTAATTATAACGTACGTTTGACGCCATCAAAAACCTGTTGAGACAAGTACAAAACTAATTCAGTATGATGGAAAGGAAAAAAAAGTCAACTGCATGTTCTATTGCAATACAATACTCTTTCAATATAAGGAGAGCTCTAAAGGCCACCTCTGACGTATCATCCGTGTCCAGAGTGAGAAGCATTGGACCAACGCCCTCCCAATCAACACGAATAGATTTGGTTTCAGCTAGGCACATAAGAACAGTAATTTGAATAAAAACTGCACATCACTGAGGGCCAAACTGGCTTCCGATTATTATCTGCCAGCATCAGCCGAATGGAGCGCATTCGTAGTTGAAGCAGTTTGACGCAGATGCTTGTCGCTACAAAAGGCGGCAGGCCAGCGACATAACAAAGGAGCTATAAATGGAACAAATGTATCCTGACATGTACTCATCAATTGCCTGTGACTGATTTCAAAATAACCGGTGAACTAACTGTTACTTCATTGGGCACCCTTAGATGACTGTTATTTTAGCGAGTAATTTTGGATGAGATGACGAAATCTTATCTTAAAACCTGTATTCTTTGGACCTTTCCCTTGTAGACCTCAGCAGTCAACTCATTATTTTCTCATATCTTACCCGGGAACCAACTACACATTAAACTCTCTCGAAAAATTCACTTTTGTGATTTGTCTTTTTCCAGGTTTGCCTTGATAAAATTGAGGATTATTTAATATCCAATCCGCCCCTAACAATCAGATTCCTAATGAGTTCAGAGGACAGGGGTAATCGTTCAGGTGCCCCTTTGGTGACCAGCTTTCATGCAACCCGAAGAGACCACGATGGCTGAGATACGGTCAGGTTACCCGAACCTAGATGGTAGCAGTGGAAATGCCGAGCTTGGATTCGGACCAAAAACCTACCCGGTGTTAACTTCTTGTCCTAACTACCGAGCAGCCTCGAGCTCAGATACACTAAACCAATAAAATCCACCAGATGTGGCTAGTTATTTCCGAACAAACATAGAATCGAGGTGTCCGTTTTTATTCAGTTCGTGTAATAACTGCACTTTGTTTTCCCCCAAATAGATTGGTTCATCTCCCTAAAATTTTGTGACGTGGATGACGTAAATGACAAGACTTTGTTGGCTGTGTTCTGCTAAGCAGATGACGCTGACTGGTGGCCAAACATTATCACAAACTTGCACATGTTCTGAGTAAACTTTCACATGAAGCCTTGCAAGTGTTTCGAACGTGGCGCTGACAGAGGCCCCTACTGTTTTTATGCCTCGTTATAACAATTTACTCGAGTTTATTCATAACACCCTCACTCTCAAGGATGATGCACCTCTCATATAAAAGCCGCTGTCCGTGTAATGAGCTTAATTATGTGAAATAGGACGTAATGATACCAAACTTTTTGGAGAAATTCACTGATATGCAAATCCATTTGGTTTTCAAGAGAGACTCAACTGAATCTCTCGTTTATGATATTCTACAACTGAATGTGCTGCACACAGGCCGCATCATGTTTTATTTAGCATGATATTCGAGATATTGCAATATATTTTCTATACATAACACATTACTCACAAGGTTCCTGAAAACTGTTCGACAGCCCACGACTGGTTTTGCCCTTCTTGGGGCTCATCAGGTAGGCGCAGTCCCCGAGTTTTCATCAACCTTATGTTCTACTTAAACAGGAATAGCACTGTTTTCGAAAAACCGGTCGTGGGGTGTCGAAGAGTTTTCAGCAACCTTGTGAGTAGTTTCCTTCATAAGAAAAGATACCAACAATTGTTGCAGATTCCCGCTAAAGTCAAAATATCAAGAGATATTTTTAAAAGTAGACAACCTGAGCCATATTAATATGCATCTCGGTTTCTGACTATCCACAGAGTTCATTGCAGGTATCTCAAACAACCGCACAGAGTAGAAAGCAACGATTCGAGTGACACTACAAACTGTTAGTCAGTGAAGATGTTTTATCGTCTGCATGGATTAACGATTATTGTGATTCACTAATTAAACCTTGCCGAAAATAACAAGCGTCGAAACAATGAGATATGTCTTTGGTGTACCCAATATGATCATTTGGACTTTTATTTTTCCGGGTTTATTTATTTGGTTGAAACTCGTTTGTTTAAGGACTTCCAAATCAAAGTCTGTTAAGAAACCCAACCTCAGTGCAATCAGGGAGAGTGGACAGAAATAAATACGCGCAAGGAAAATCAGCTTTTTGTTTCATAAAACAAGTGGAAAGCCTTCAGTTAAGCCAAGCCAAGACCATCCATAACAACTCAAACCACGGTCTCCCCCTCGTAAAGCCCACCTTGGCAGAATACACCTCTAGTCCTTTTTGCATAGGTCTGTGTTGGGCTTCTCAATGTTTCCCTTCTCGTTACTCATTTATTTCCGTTTTTTAGGACTCAAGAAGGAAACCAAAGTGATTGAAGACAATCTGAATCCAGCATGGAACGAGGTACGTGTTTTGCCGTATACACGTTTCCCGGTTTAGACTCTTTCATTAGACTTACAAGGAAAACCGTTGTCGAGTACAGATGTGATGACGGTTACCGTGAAAGACTTCGACAAAGTTACAGCGGACAAGTAAGCGCACATTTTATACATAAAATGGCCATTCTGGAATAAATACAGCCGAAATTGAAGTTTGGACAATTTTCTATTTAATTGAGCTTAGGCGAAATTTAACATTCCATGAGTATTGCACAAGTTTGAGTCGTGTGCATGTGGGATTTATGCATGGATTTAACTCACTGTATGTCTATGATAGAATACACAGGAGTTTTTTTGGAAAGGCTACGAATTTCATACACGGAACACATGACAAAAAAACGAGAAATTTAGTTGGGTACTCCGAACTACTGATATCTTGCAGCTTGTGCATTTTGGGCAGGAATGTTCAGCTGATCAATATTATGTTATTGTGTATTATATATTATTACATATTATTTCCCCGACATCGCTTATTGTGCTTCCCGAAGGTTTTCATAAAATTTCGGCGAGATACACTCGATAAACTATTGCCGTCTAAATAGAAGGCAGACAGAAGTGTATCCGAAGCAAGTTCTTATTCCATAAATTTTGTTTGCGCATCGATTTTCTTGCCTAAAGTGAGCAGTAAATAGTCAACTCGAAGGCAAGAGCTAGAAACGTATGCTCTTGAACCTCAGTGATCAGATTGTATCCATTTATGGAATGGTGAAATTTTAAAGTCAGCTCATGTGACCGTATTAATATCGCTTCTATCTACACGTATGATGACCGAGTCTGGATAATTTGTACTAAGAAATACCCGGCTATGTATGTGCCTATCCATGCCCAACGATTCAGTTAATCGTTCCTTTGCTTGAGTTGCATAGTAATATCGCCGGTTCTATTTCAAACGGATCGATAAAACGACAATATGCAGTTAACGCGACATGTGGAACAATACTTCCACATGGTCTGAACGACTTAGACGAAACCACGTTCCATAGCTTGTTGTGAGCATGTGAAAAATGACAAACCGTTCCAATTCATCTTGCGAATATTGCAACACGAATTAATTCGACAAAGTACCAAAAGTTCATGGCAGTCACATAATCTTTGAACGAAAAGCAAGTCAGTTGAGGAGAGGCGACTTCGGGGGAATTAGCCTTCCCTGAGGTGCATATTAAATGCATAAATGGTCGCTGGATTTTTCGCTGAGCTGGGCGACTTGATTACGAACGTGTCACTACTAATCGAGGTGACATCATCAGTGCATTATTAGGGAGCGTAGTGGAGCGTAGCGATGGGTCAGTGGCTGTTTTCTCCCAACCAGGAAGAAAGTCAAAACCCTCAACAGAGTGTGGCCTTTTGTTGGTTCCGTTAGACGCGGAACAGGTGCCATGAAGATTTCTGAATGCAGTACCACACCGAGATACGACACCACTTATGGCACCGATCCTCTCATGAGTCATCATTTTTGACCGATCCTTTCAGCATTCACTGCATCTCTACCGAATGTGATATTGTTACCTAGGTAGACCAAATTGACTTTTGTATGAAACACGTATTTATCAACATTTACTGCTGATAGTTTGTTAGGGCATTTTGTTTGCTATTCATTGTGCTTAACAGCACATTTATAAGCAAACTACCCCAACGTAGCCCCATTCAGCCGTAACACACTTTCGGTGCCTGGTTGCCCTGACACCCGAAGGGAAAAACAGGGTTGAGATACTACCAAGTTGCCCAAGACTAGACGGGAGAACCTGGGATGCCGAGGTTGGGTTTGAACCACGGACCTTCTGGTTAATAGGTCTGCTCCTTAACCATCAGGCCATCTCAAGCCACATCATAGTCTGTATAGCATTGATACCATACTTTGTCTTTGTTGCTCTCTAAGGACACATTGTGACTTCAGGCATAGAAAGGTGGTACAATGTACTGCGACCGAAAGTCATCGAGTTCAGTTGGCGACAGGACCAATGGACTGACCTAGCCAAGTCGTATCTGAAGTGACCCACCGAAAGTGCGCTCCATGAACAAAGAGATTTTAAGAGCGTCACTCAGAGATTTATCCTCTCGTTATCAAACAACGCTGCTGAAAGTAATTCTCTCTTTCGAATAAAATCATCGACTGTTCTCATTCGAAATTATTCGGTCATCATGAACAAGATGATGTGATGACCCCACTCTTTTGGCGTACATATATATAGGTGAGCTGCTGGTACCCGTAGGGACTAACCAATCAACAGAGGTTGGACCGTTAGATGTCCGCCTGTAATGTTTAACCATAAGAGACTGTGTTACGACCAACAGAAAGACGTATAACTGTGTTGTTACCTGTGTTTCGCCAACGTACGGCAATAAAACCGAATCCAAAAGAATCACATAGAAGAGAATGCCTAGGGAAGGGTCACATTGGTAGCCCGTCATAAATACCCTGAGGTGCTTTCATCTTTTAATGACCTCTCGGCAGTCGTGTGAAGTCTAATATGATGCTTTGTGCAATCATCTGGTGCCGGTGCGAATAAAATAGGTGGACAACTATACAGCGTTTTGTTGATAGCCATAACCTACTTAAATGTAATAGCATAACAGTGAGCACTGAACAATTGTTGTTGAAGTTCCACTGTCATTCGGGAGTCCCCAAAGTTTCAATATTACAGCGAACTTTATCTTTTGTTACATCGTATCATTGTCCTCTCACTACCGCACCGTCTAGGTGACGGTGTGGAGTCCATATATACAGTGGGCCTTCCAGTGAGGATCAGATGTAGGCTCTGGCCGGTGGTCACTTCCTGTGAAGTGGGAGAGGTCAGTTCTTAATGGGGAAACTAAAACGTTGGTTTTATATGGACGTAAAATGTGCTTTCAATTTAGTTCCACTATTCTTCCGATCTACCAGTCTTCTGATTACTGACTTATTTTCTGATTCAANCAAGCCTACTTTGTGCACCTCACTGTTTGACCAGTCAGACTGGGTTTAGTTCTGAAGAGGGACCGAATTCACCCGTTTATTTCTAAAAGTTTGGGAAGAACCTTCCTGTAACCTTTTCACCTAGCCAACTGTCTTTCGAGTCCTTTTCCATGAAAAAAAAACGCGTAATCTGAGACAGACAGTTGCATATAGGTATGGTGTTGCGCCGAACTATTAGTAGCTTGGTTCTTGATCAGGTGGCTGTTGATCTGTTCGCTGAGCTTGGTGATTGACTCGCAAATGTCTCGTCACCATACAAGGAGACATCATCAGTGCGCAGTTGGGTGGGTTCTCGCCCTCTTTGTCCGTGTGGGTTTATATCGCAGTTGAAGGCCATCTGTTTTCTGTTAACATATCTGGCTAATTGGGAGGCAGCTTTTTTACGAATTTATTGGCCCGTTTTTTATCTTTGTTGCATCGTGGTCTGTGTTCTTCTCACCAAACACTGAAACTGAGCACGTTCATAAACCACGAAGATCAAGGAAGCGATAGATCTACATGGTTCCAAACTGTAGAAGAAAACAGCCGTGGAACCCATAGAAGAAGCAAAAAAGCTCGATTCAAACGGACATTTCAATTACATTGGAGGCGGGCAGCTAGAGGACGCAGGGAACTGAACCGTTACAACGGATGAAAAAGGGCGGTGCAACCAACCAGTCAGTCTCCAGATCAGACCACTGCGCAATCCAAATTTAAAGGGGGCCAGTCAAAGCAAGCTTTGAAAGAAACTACTAAAAATACAAGGTCTTGGGATAAACAACCAACTAAAAACAAAGCGGACCACAACGCAATAAAGATTGCAAACGGGCCAATAGACTCGAAAAACGCTCTCTCCAAGTTAGCCAGTCACGTTGAAAGATAACAGGCAATCTTCAAATACTACATAAACCTACACAGACAAAAAAGGCGAAACCCACCCAAATGCGAACTGATGATGTCTCCTCGTGTGGTAACACATCGTTTGCAAGTCAACTGTCAATCTCAACAAACAGGTCAACAGCCACCTGATCAACAACCAATGCATGCAGATTACCTATATACCTATATACATTGGAAAAAGACCAAATGCGCTCTGATTTCATGTATGAATCCTCGGTGGGGTAAGAACAAGATTAATTTGGACATCCCGGTAATAATGCGTACTTTATTTGTCCGGCGAATCCAAGGAATCCGGCTCATGTTGTGCATGAGTCTGTCTGACCAAAGGTTCTAGATCAAGGTCGTTGGGGAATAGATTGTCCGTAGTGTCGCTGCCCATTAGTTCACGCCGTCTTCATGACTCCTCCCTGTTTTAAACTACCTCATGAAATATAAGTATCTCAGTGAAGAACCCCTCTTTTCAAGTAGGCTGAACTGACTTAATTGTACCATTGAAAGGCAAAAGTGTGTTGGTCCTCCAAAAGCTTGTTTTAGTACTTCTGATATCCGCATAATTACGCTTTTCTAAGCAACTGTAAACCAATGCTTTGACTTCGTTTTTAGTTTGATTAGAGTAGGTAAAGCACCTGTCATCAAACCGGCACTTTCCAATACGTCTTACGGTCTTCATAAAGATAAACGCTCCACGCGAAGAGACTCGTTGGTTATATGGTAAAGGTTAGATCAATTTGAGGTGGAAAAGATGAGTTCGTAAAATCATGAATTTTGACCCAAAACGAAGGAGTAGAGTCCATGGACGGGACCCGAATCATGCATTGATTGACCACACTTTCGCCCAAGGTTCCATCAGTTAACATCTGTCATCGCTTTTGCTAGGTTGCTCGACCGAGAGAGCGCTGCTTCGAGTTAACAGTATGGACCGCATTCATACGGCCATTGGTAAAGGGACGCAGTCGCCGGTGATGGAAAATGCAAGCAATCAACGAGGTCTGATTAGGAGTGCCAAGATGTTACCTGCATCTATCTACCTTCTAACAGCACGTACACCAGAAATAATACTACGTTAGGTAGGCTCATGGTTCACGCACTACAGATGGGAGACTTAGTGTGGTTGCACATTCCAGTGTCCATAAGTAGACTATATGTGAAGTCATGGAAGAACTTACCCATCATCCAAGAATTGCATTTTCAACGATCCCTCTCACTCTAGCGCTCAAAGTCAAACCATATGAATGAGGCACATTCTGGAATCAGTGCTGTGAAGTTGGGATAATCAACTCCACTGCATCTGAACAGTACGTCTATCTATACATGATCAAACGTCAGCTATCGTGCTAATCAGCGTTGACGTTTCCTGGTATCGGTCAAAATGACTCTTCGAGATGGATGGCAAATATTTCCGGATCCTTCCTAGTCCCTTTTTAGGGGACTTGCCGTTTGTTCACCAGTCCAGTGCTATGCTGTGTGGAAACTGAGATAAAGTGGATTCTTCAGGGAAGGACAGCTCAGTGGGGAGGTTGCTGTGTTGCTATGTATGTGTGCATCTATAGGCAGATGACTTCCAAGTGGATGTGATGATCAAAATTTGTCAAGCCGCTGTATTCCTGCATGTAGTTGGTGAACTACAATTGTTTTTGTGCCTACATGGATGCGGTCCACCCGCAAGCATTTGACACCAATGTAGAGCCACCTACATAAGAGAAGCAAGTAAACACGCAGAAGATAACTACTCTATTTTAATTAACTTGTCTACCAATACTCCTTATAAAGAAGGGACCAATCGGGAACGTATCATTCTGAGCAGTACCAAGTGATTGAAGCCAGCCTCAAGGAACAGACGAAAAGTAGTCCCCCGTCTGGACTGGACCTTACCAGCTTGCGCATCTCAGCGACTCACTGAGCTATACAAGGGGGTGTTCCCGAGACACTCACAGAGTCTCCCATAGCAAGTTGGTCAATGATTAGAGGTTTGACAAACAGTTTCCTGGTCCTCCAGGTTAGGAGTTGGAACATGTGTCGGCCTGTTCCGTAGAAATGATAATGCAATCGCATTTCCCGCCAAACGATGCTCCCTAGCGACTAGGCTTCTCAGCCAAAGGCTTTGATTGAGGACCCTAATCGTCCTTCTGTCTAGGTGTGCGCGCCCTGACAGTATCCCAGCTCACTTAAAACCATACGGCAGCGGAGCATCGGTGTTGAATACTGATGTCATGTTGTCCGTGATGATGATGACTAGGAACTGGCCTGTCCCGAGAATGACCCTTTTTGGAGAAGGAAGAGTATATGCATATACTTGGACCTGTTTGTGTATAAAAGACTTGTGGTGGTACTGAATATCCGGAGCGTTCACTGCGAATAAAGCGATAAATGCCTGGGTAATTTAAGAAAAGTCAAGAACAAACGCCATCGGAAACTTTGGGAAATCTTTCTGATTGGTCAGTGTTCTTACACCTAGGCAGCAAATACAATATCCCCAAATGTTCTCTCGCACAAATAGGAGAGTTTTTTTATCTCAAAGAAATTCTCTCTTTACGCTCAGGGGCTCGGTTAATTCTGTTGAGAGTAATATTCTCCCCACAAGCTGAGAACGCAGTGGCCAATGGCCACATTGTTGCATTATTTTCGTCTTGAGCGCAGCCGTCAATTTTCTACTACGTGGTTTGTTGAAGTTCCCTTTACCGACCCTTATCAGATTCATGGGAATGACCGAAGTACCCCTGAGAAATCTTGTATCCGGAGCCAAGGAACTACCGATAAAAGCTTACCTCAAGGATAAAAAAGGAAAGGAAACGACGGTGAGCCACTCCTTTTTGAGGATGCATATTACAAATATCCGAACAAGCTGATATGTGAAGCACACTTTGCAGGACATTTTTTGGGCTGTAGTAAGCTAACCGAGATGTCTTTAGACTCCTGTAAATGGAAGGTTTAGAACAGTTTCGTGTGACTTTTTCTCCGACCATGTCATAAGGTTTTTGCTTTATCCAACCATAAAACGGAAATTGGGCCAAAAGTGCGAAAATGTTAGAAACCTATACACTATGTGGTCTGTGAAAATGAGACTTCCAACTTGAATCAGTTTGTCGGAAAGCTTGCCCCATCAGGCTTGTTTAGGAACCTCAGTCTCTTGCATAAGATTGTTGATACTTTCATGTCCAGTCATAAATTTGAAAGGAGCTAACGGTAACTAACTTTAACATTATACTTTTACAATGTCGCGCACACACTGAGCTAATCAGGTTAATGGCCTCTACTGTCAAAAAATACTGGTAATCCACTACCGTACAGGCGGTAAAATCCAACTAATACGGAAGGTCGACAGACTCAATTCAACCAAATCCGAATGAGACCAGGCAGTTGTTTCAGACTATGGCTTATGACTGTCTATGAAAATAGATAGTTTTGCCTGTGCACTTTTCAAAAACAGTTGTGATTTGAGGTGGAAGAGATGAGTGCTGTCAACAAAAAGACTGACGGCAAACGTGGGATGGGAGACTCGGACCCCTCAGTCGCTGGAACTCTCGTTTGAATCATATGCGGTTGAATTTTGCTTAGTAGGTTCCCCGTCTCTGCTGTGTCAGTTCAAATCAGGGAACAAAGCTAGCATCTGGCTCACTATAGACGCAACACAGTCAGTAATCCACTGCTGGTAGTGACAGACGTGGCAGACGTCCAGGAATTTGAATTGAAATCTATACATATGACGTGCGTCTCAGGTGGTCCAGCTGGCGCAGAGAAGTCATATACCTGGGTCTCAGTCATAGGGTATAACCTTTTGTTCGTCTTCCGTAAATTTGAGTTTCCGAAGAAGAACAATCAGTTTATATACACGTTTGGTGAAGAAACAACTTTGCGTTCCTTTGCGACAGGGTTCAATTGAACTTGTGGTCAGGTACATTGCTCCTGAATCCGGTGGAGACGTTGGAGCTGGTGAGTTCAATTGTCCATCGTAACTATGCATACGACAAAGCACTACAAGTTTAACGACATCACTACTTTATACATAGACACTCCACTTAAATTAAATTATCTATAGCCTGGCTTGAATTTCCAGTGCAGAAAGAAAGTACGTTTTAGCTTACGCATGATGGACTGTATCTTGTGATATCAGAAATGTAGATAAGCAGGTCAGATAATTTATATATGAAGGCCCATTGCTTCCCTCCTCATCAATAATGATCTGTTCTGTAAATGAAATTCGAGCGGCGCTGCCACTGTGCAACCTTTAAAGCGGTTGGAAGTAGTCGGCAACTCATACCCTGCAACTCTTGAACCCACTATCTTCGGTAGTGTGTAAACATCTTACCTCTGAAAACGCTTGCAGTCGCTCGAAAAGTCAGTTTCGGTAAAGTTCGGTAGGCAGTCGGTGGATCCGGTCAGGTTTACCTCCAGTTTCTCCAGTTTTTTCTCCAAGACGACAAATGTTTGGTGCCGAACATATGTATGAATACAAATTGTCATACTGTCAGCTTCTCGGTTCAGGGAAGTAAACGATTAACTAGTTAAAGAAAAAAAATAGATGACCTCTTTGCAGTTCAGTAAAAATCGGGGGAAATTTTGCTCTTAATGACCATTAATAGCGTTTTAAGAGTCTTATTTCCGAACCTTTCAGGTACAGTTGTCGATCAGGGTGGTGGTGATGGCGGCGGTGGTGGCGCCAGCGGTGGCGATGGAGGCGGCGAAACTGGAGGGTATACTGATTATGCTGAGACAGCCGCCCATGTGTCCGGCACCATAGGAAGTTCCACGGGGACCGTGCGGCGTAGATCAAAGGAGCCTTACTCCACTAAACCGCAAGACTTCCAGGTAAGGACATTCCATTGTGTTCTGAGCAACGTGGACAACTCTCACCAGGATGTACTCAGTATAGCACTTTCCGTCAAGGGAGCATCCTTTTGGAAGGGGGTACACAAAGGCCATGGGGATGCTTCCTGGTAGGAGAGGTGACTAGCAAGGACCCTCCTGCATGGGTTCTAGGGAGCATAACGGGATTTCTGTTGTATCCTGTTGTTTTAACTGGCGTTTATTGGTTTGGAACAATGGGCTTTAACGCCCCAGATACTCATTATTATTGCATATCTGATGCGTATTAATACAACTTTTGAACTTGTGTAATGGTCGTCAGCCATGTCTTGCACATTATTATAGAATTTTGATAAATTTTCCACCCGGCTGAAACCGCTAAAACTGCAAGGCAAGATGTATTACGGTAAAGCTGTGTCCCCATGCAGTGATAAAAACAATGGTAGTTATTTGGAACTCGGTAAATATTGAGTTTACATGCCTTGCTTCATCATGTGCTCCACTTCCAATCAGAATTAAAACCGTGTTATGATCTAACGAAGAGTGTTGTGCGCATTTTTCGGGCTAAATCATTCGCTCAACCCGGAAGTGTATGCTGATATGGTAAGTTGCTTGTGACATCGAGTGTTTGACTTGACATTCAACCAGTAAATCCAGGCGAAGGTATTCCCGCTGTGCTTGTTGTGTCTTCCTGAGGGATGAGTCACCCATTTTTAAAGCATGAGAGTTTCGCTTCCTGAGGTGGCCTCACCGAGATGGACTGCAATGTGAAAAATCAGAGTGCTGTCCTCAGTTTAGCTATTTTCTGCTGAGTAGTTCTGTTTAAAAGGGGGTAGTATTTGAATATGAAACAGAAAAGTGTGCCACACTGACAGTGACTGAGTTACAAGTTCACGGCTCTATTTAGGGATGAAGACAGTATGCCATTTCTTATATTAGCTAGACATTTAGGCGAGCAAGCCAGCGTACGCAGCGAAATTGTTGGAATTTCCCAAAACTTATCGATGGATGGTTTGGGTTCAGTGAGATCGGTGACCACTGAACAGTCACCGCACAACGAGATGTGACAGCATTTGAATATTAGGGTTGAGGACTAGAGACTGCCGAATACCAAATCTACAGAGCGAGCAAACGCTACCCTTCCATTCGTCACCTTTAAGACGTGAAGAATGAAAGCAAGGTACATCAAGCCGTAGTTTTGGAAGCTCACTTTCTACTGCACCGAGTTTCAAGTATTTTTAAAAAGAAAAATTGAAAAGAGAAATACTTCCTGACTACATGTTCACGTCAATGTTGTCGTGACAAATGAGGGCTTAGAAAGCGTCCTAACGAGATAGCACACATATTCCCATAAGTGACTTTCACAAACATCTAGAAATCCAAGTTAGGCGAACTCAAAGGCTGAGATGAGGGGCTTTACACATGCAGAAGTAAAATATAGAAACGATTCGCTTTTTGTGATTGACATCGTACGCACTGTATTGTTTAGCATTCTCCACGTTCTCCTCTCAGCCGTTTTTTATATGCAAATGATGTAAGAATATAAAATCTTCAAAATCGATTCTTAAGGAGCGGACTCTCATTTGGATGTTTAAACTAAGTGTCCATATTTTTGCAGCTTGAGACATACTGTTTCTTACAAGTATATATGCCCACAAAGAATATGAGTAGGTGCTTAAATCCAGTGAAAACCAAACAGGTTTACAAATTATATTATTTCTCGAATTTCGTCTAACCCGGGTATAAACAGAACATAAGGTTGGCAGGAACTCGAAGTCCACGCCTGCTTAATGGATCCCAGCAAGGGCAAAAGCGGTCATGGGCTGTCGAAGTGTTTCCAGCCACATTCCTGTCTTTTCCTTCAGGATGACTGGATACCTCTTTTTGTATCCAGTGCGTTTCTACTCATTTGAATGGCACACTGAACTTTAAAAGGAAGGACGAAAATCCTTTTTCTTGAATCTTGCGAAGCAACGGACACCCAAGAACCCTTACCAGAAGGAGGATGAAGGAACTTGCATGCCAATAAGAATGGTGACGATAAGACTAAATGAATGGCTTTTGCCAAAATCAGGAACCTCACAGGAAGATTATCACATCCGCCTGACTCTGTGTGGCTAACAAATTGAACGCCACACTAAGGAGGTCACTTTTAAGACTGAAGGGTAAAAACAGACAACTCGACCTAGATGATATTATGTGCTGGGCAAACTGTGATTTGCACGCTGGACTGAACGGGGAGAAACAAGCCAAAATACACAAAGGGACATTAAGAAGACAAATTTACCTTAGCGAAATACACTCACTCGCAAACAAATTCTGTTTCGCAAGAGACTCACCTGGAACCCGGTCCTGGGCTGTCGAAGAATTCTCAGCAACCTTATGAGTAGTGCATTACGAATATGCATGTGTCGTGATATCTCGAATATCGTAGCGACTGAAACATGAGGCGGCCCAGCGCAGCACGTTCGGTTGCCTGGAAACATCACAAAAGAGAGATTCAGTTGGGTTCCAGCTGAGTCTCGCAAAACCAAATTTGTTTGCAAATGAGTGTATTTCGCTAAGTTCGTGCAACTTGGTTTCAAGTAGAACATAAAGTTGACGGAAACTCGGGGATTGCGCCTACCTGATGAGCCCCAAGAAGGACAAAACCGGTCGTGGGCTGTTGACCAATTTTCAGCAACCTTATGAGTAGTGCATCACAAATTTGCCTTTTTCGGGTTCCACACCTGACAATCTGCTTCCACTTCGGAAACATCAGTATTGTTACATGTAAATGCACAAAACCCACCGGGTGTTTTTGGAAGCATAGTGCTCCGCGACACCTTCAGTCTGTCCATAGACACGGGACCACAAATCCGCCCAAACGGCACAAACGCAATCGAGCGTTGGATAGGACGATATGAGAAGTCATGCGGCCAAACAGGAAGGGGATCCACTACCAAGCTCAAAGTTCATCTGGATGTCAACCATCAGAACGCGGGCGAACAATTCAATCACTGGAATTGCCCACTAGTCATGGTTGAACATCATCCCTTTCCCTTGCAGAGACACGTATCTGAACTCGCGCACACCACCGTTTTAGCTGGTATCACATGCCACCCGTGATGCTACCTCGGGTCGTGACCAAACTGCTACCACGAAATGCTAAGCTTAGAGATCAATTACACCACGAACTGAACATGTACTACTCATACTTCCTTATTCACCAGGTGACTGGTCTTATTGCCATTGATTGGCATGTGAACGAGAATAGGCTATGTCATAACAGGGGTTTGAAAATTGCCATTTCCATGAATTTTTACCTAGCCTTAATGATTGAAGTAGTGGCTAGCTGTTTCATCCGAAGTGCTCCGTGTGTTCCTGGATCCGAACTACGGAAAAGCGGTCTCTTCTAATTATATTTTTAATTGTAACTCAATGGAACTGCGGCTAGATTTGCAATGTGTGATTCGAAGAAACGGAATAGGATTTACCGCTCACTAAGGATTTGTGGGTCCGCTTGTTGCACTTCCTGTCCTCGGTACAGAACATCCATCAAAAAGCAGAAACATCAGATTCACATATGAAGTCTGAAAACAAAAGTACAATTAACCCGAATGAACCTACGTATGTTCCTGATGAGTTCTGTGTCAGTTAAACATTTATCCGTGGTTTTGAGTTCACGTAGCATGCATTCCATTTCACCTATCTAATACTAGGCTTTTCAGAATGGTTTTCTGGGAGGAGTTGTTCCTTTGCTGGGTGACATTACTGTGAGGAGTGAAAATGAGACTGGGGCAGGACACATAGGTATAGCCCAGTGAATGGTTATAACAATAAGCGAAACAACAATTTACTACCAGCGAATGCAAAGTGTCGTCAATGGAGGAAAAAATTACAAATTGCTCTCACAGTAATCCACGAGAGCTTCCTTACGGTTTGATTTGAGCAAAACATCATCATTATCTTGGGTTTCAAGCGAGTGTTGGAAACCCAGTCATATCCGATGATATCCAATATCCAACACGAGATAAGATAAAGTAGAATTCGGAGTTTAGACCCACATGATAAGCCCGAAGGGCCGGGAGTAGTATCAGGCTGTCAAAGAGTGTTCATCAACCTTATGAGTGGCACCGTAGCTAAAAAAGGATGAATTTACTTACAGACGGATCGGGCTAGCTCTAATTGCTAATAAACAGTAGCAAGGTGAGTTTACAACGTTACTTTCGAGGAAAAAGCATGCCGAAATGAACCCCGCTATCTTTAAAATGTTTGTCGGTTTTCTGTACTCCGGAAATTAGTCTATCAACTTGGCCGAGGACGCATGAGAGGATTTGAATCTTTCATTCATTTGTTTATCCGTGTCTCTGACTGGATTTTCAACGCAAACCGAGAGACCAATCAATGGAGGGCCAAACGAAGCGCATTACGTTTGTACTAATCAAGCAAAGATGACTGAGGAAGCAGAAATTCCTTGTTACCATGCTATGATGCCTCTCAGCTTTGACAAAAAACGTCTGAACCCAACGTCAGGTTACAAGAGGCTTTAGTGAAGGCCTCAATTTGACTAAGGGAATCAGTACAAAAAACAATAACATAGGGCATTAAACAGCAGGTTTCAATATTGCAGGTAAGTGTGCCAGTTTGTTGGGCCTGGTAGAATCTAGTGAGGCGATTGTCAGAGCACAACCCTCTCAATTGAGTACGCACGACCAGTGCTTACTCACCTTATGTGCATTGGGACAAGTAAAACAAAACGCATGTTAGATAATTATGTGGCAATGTACATGCCATCAAGTAAAGCTATCCGCTTGAAGATCACACTGCAGCTTTGCTCCTCAGGTACAACCTTCTCTTTGATGTCTGTGAGGATAAAACACCACACCCTTGGTCTCAGTGTTTCCTTCGTAAACATGGTTCTACATGCTACGCTCATCGCCTAACACTGGTTAGCAAGAAAGAGTATAAATCTAAACGCATATGAAGGTAATGCCACTTTGATCAGATATGGAGCTTTAAAA